CAACAAAAAGTATGATGATTGTTTGAGATCAATGGGTGACCTGATAGTGAGTTTGACTACATAGTACAAATAACCAGAAAAAAAAACAGCCATTACCTTATTATTGAATTCTGGACCAAGATCTGTCAGAATCCGCTGTGGGCATCCATGTCGAACAATCATTTTGTACATGCTCTTTGCCACCTTAGATGCTGACTTACTTCTAAGTGGCAAGGCTTCCATCCATCTTGAAAGATAATCTATGGCTGTCAGTATACACCGGTATCCATCCTTTGTTACTGGCAATGGTCCTCTTAAATCTATTTCCACCAATTCCCAGATCCGAGTGACCTACATACAAGAGTACCAGTTACAGTCATACTACACGTGTTTCTTACTAAATGTTCTCAATAAACCCCTATGTCATAAGCAGAGTACACAATGGAATATGGTTACAACAGCCAGAGAATCAGAATGTAAAGCCCACTTTTAAATACAGACGAAAAAGAAAGAAAAAACAAACAAAAAGAAGTGGAAAGGTGCATTAGAGGTAATGGCTGCACTATGCTGTGCTACTTGTATGCAGTGCACTCCTTTCAAAATCAAAGCCTAATTGGGTCACTGAAATAACAATGGATAATGATAAACAATAATTTGTCTGATTCCAAAATTCACCTTTATGCTTTTCAAGGTGGTATCAAGATTTAATTCCTTTCCCTCTTTCTGGCAAGTCAGACATCGTGCAACCTGTTTTTGATGGAACAATATGACATTAACATTTCATTAAGGGAACAGAGTTCACATTTGCACACCAAATATATTTTGTTTATACATTTTGAGCTTCTTTTTCAATTGTAAATAGCATTCTTCAGGATTTAGTTTCATTACTTTACATACCCAATTGGCAATGTCTTTTGTCATCCCTGGCCAATAGTATTTTGATGTCAGCATATTCCTCGTTTTGAATATTCCTAGATGTCCACCCATTAGACTGTCATGATACCTTTCAAGGAGTTGCAGGGCTTCTTTCATGGTATGCAAAACGACAACCTTTCTTCCTTTTGCAGAATGGAACAATGTCCCCTCTGTTGATCATAGAAGATGGAGAATGGAGGATGATTAAGGTTTCTCGGGGCCTTGGGCCAGAGCAATTGTTGGGCCCCTACCCACCCTGTCCGCTGGGTGCACCACATATGGCCCTATCCCTTTCGTCCTCTTCTCCAGGATCTCAGCCATGTTCCACCTAGGCTACCCCCACATTACACCTGTCCCACAACTCCTTTGCTCATTTTCCACCCACCCTGCTCTTCCACACAACCCCAGGACTGGAGAAGCTCTGTCCCTGTGTCACGGCCCCAGGGCTGTACCAGGGAGTGAGAGCTCTTTCAGTCCCAGGGCTGCAGCGGGGGTTTGGATGCTGCGGTTCTTCAGGGGACCAGGAGCAGGGTGGATTCTCCTGCCCCACTAGGCACTTCTTCTGGAGATGGGGTCAGGCATAGGGGCTTTCCCTGCTGCCCCACAGCTTCTGCCGGGGCTGGGGTGGGGGCAACATGTTGTACATAAGCTATGACTGGCTATTTGCAAAGCCATTCATTAACTATAAGGCATATGCCTATCAAAGACGTCTATATACAGTATGGTTCATAATGCCTTGAGTACAAGGGGGGAATTTCAGTGTATAGTTAGAAATTATTGCTCATTGAACATATAGTGATTGTTGTTGGTGCTTGCAGCAGACTGGATAACATACTTATGAAATGAAGCAAAGTCATAGGGTTTTTTGGTAAAATTTATACTAATTTCTCACGTAACTGCACACTGCATTTGTTGCACCACCGGCATAGATAGCAAAGGAGATTTTCTGGAAAATTTTAATAAAACCAGAGATCCCAATACCGGTCACATTGAAGGTAAGGTTAACACTCCAAATAATCTCAGTGTTGGGACATCAGGACCATAATTTACAGGTTGAAGTTTCCAGTGTAATGTGTCAGTCTTTTCTTTAAAAATGTATTCCTTGCCTTCCAAAGAAAAGTTGACAGCAAATCGATGCAGGAGGGGTGCAGGGTCTGGGGAGTTTGGGAGAGGGGTACGGGCTCTGACCTGGGGCAGGGGATTGGGGTACAGGAGGGTTGTGTGGATGTTCTATAAGACAAAGGAGCTGCAGTGACTTCATATAAACATAGAAACTGCTGGAAGACTCTTTTACATATTCAAAATGTGAGCGGCAGGGTTGGAGGGAGAGAGGGGGCATCTGTACAATATTTCACAGCATTCAGTCTCCTGGCTGGAGCAGTAAAGTAGCCCTGCAGCACTTGATTATGAGAGGGAGGAGCTGCGGTGATTAAGCTTTGACAGGCTAGGAATTGGGAGGCCTGTACCTTTAAGACCCCAGCCCCAGGAACCCACCCCCTGCTCTGGGGCTGACATGCAGCGTCCTGGGAGCAGAAGAAAAACAGTAGGGTTACCATCCTTCCAGGTTTCCCCGGACATGTCCGGCTTTTTCAGCTTTAAATGGCTGTCCGGGGGGGATTTCTAATAAAGTAGAAATGTCCAGGATTTCCCCCTTCCCCTCATGCAGAGTGAGGCGCAGCTGATTGGACGGCTGGGCCTGATTGAAAGCCGCTCGCAGCCACTGGGGCCTCTAGCAGCCAGAGTCCCTTCCCCTCCCCTGCTCCCTCCTCCGCCGCAGAGCAGTGCCACAGTGTTTGGCTGCACGTGGAGCTTGCAGCTCTCCCTCGGGCTGGGGGGGGGGCAGGCAAGGGACAGGGAACGGGGGGTTAGATTGGTCGGGGGTTCTGGGAGGGCT